TCATTTGTAATAACAATATTTCTCTAAAACGGGTGTCAGTAGCTATTTAATCTTTACAAGATAAGGGGTCGTCCGTCACACGTCACGTCCCCGTGGTTAGGGATGTCAAAATTCTTAGGGAATTTGTTTCCCTCTTCATAGGATAAAATCATACATTCTCAGTGTTGATATTATAACCATACATTATCAGCCGTTGGCAGTCCACTGCTGCAAACACGCAAGTGTTTCATTTTTTCCTTTGGAGTTACGGAACCCTAAAAAATCACAGAAACACTCGAAATGAAATTAATAACAAATCAAAACATTCAATCAATTAAACGATTTTGGATTTGTACCACTATTGGACATCAGCAGACAGTCTCATATTCGGGTCAATTATTCGTCTACATTTTTAAGTTTTATTTAAACAACTCGAAAATATCGCGTAACATGCACATAAAATAGAGATGAATGGAGAACACCCTTCTTTTGGAAATAACACAAAAATGTTCCCTTTTTTTTATACCACGAAGGTGGGAAACAAGCATAAAGCCCATCTAACGATAAACGGTCACTGTATCCTATGGACGCCTACAACACTAGGGGTGTCACGTGCGCGTTGCCGACCTTGAAGAAACCTTAATATACCCTCTTTGAAGAACGTCATACTGTAGTCTCTAGGGAAAACAACGGCAGGGAGCTCATTCTACACCTTTAGCGTTTGCGGGAGAAAGCTCCTTTGAAACCGCACTGTACGTGACCATTTAGGTTCAAGCGTGTGAAGATAAAACCCCTGTTGATCGCTAGTGATGCGATAATAAAAGGTGACTATGTAAAATATAATTACTATTTCAATAAACAAACACTCCATTTTTTAGCAGGAACAAAAAAGCACATATTTATCCTGTACTGACTTTTACCCGCGACTTCGTCTGCGTGATCGAAATATGTTCACTGTCCGGGATAAAAACATAGCCTATGTCCTTCTCCATACCTTAAGGGACGTGTATACTAAATTTCATAGTGTTCAATTTGTAACAAACAAACTAGCTTTCCTATTTATAATATTAGTAAGAATGTAATATCGGTATCAGTGAATTGCAATGAATGCAGTCAATATTTGTCGATGTAGCTCTCTGAAACATTCCCACGGTTGTACCACTACTTTCCTGTTATCGGTCAATAACAATCACGGTACGTGGGATAACGTAACTTTATCGACAGAGATAGAGCGATTTCTCGCGAATTTTTTTTTATTACTATTATTATTAAAAATATAACAATACTAGCTTTTACCCACGACTTAGTCCGCGTGACTGGGATGTATTCAATGAGCGGGATGAAAAGTAGCCTACATAGCACGTGTATCACTAAATATCAGTGATTGGTTAAGCCGATAAAGCGCTATAAGATAACAAACAAACTTTCACATGTACAATATTAGTAAGGATGTAATGTTTCTAATAACAATGTTTGAACGTGGGCACACGTGGTTTGATGGCTTAGTAAGTGAAATTGAACTGAATCGTAGAACAATACGGATATAATCAAAATTATTGAATTAACTTCCTGTTTTTTTTTTTTTTTTTATTTGTCTTGTAACACACTGACAATATCAAAGTATAGACAGAGAATAGACGATCCTAATTAATTTTTTTACTAGATCATAAACTGTAAGATACAGAGATCGTACCTATTAGGAATAAATTATGATTAATTCAACTAAATATAAAAAGTAAATTTAAACATTTTGAAACATATAATACTGCGTAAGCAAATATTGTTTAAATAAATAGAAATGTATGTAATAATTAACATTCTTAAGTTGGACGCTTAGTCCAAAATTACCTTTGAACGACGCCATACATTCAATATAAAAATATTGTACTATTTTTGTTTACAAAGGCAATGTAAATAAAACACTACACTGAACCAATAAAAAAAAATTTACGCATCAAGAGTCAATGTTCGTAGGACCTTGGACAATGTAAGTCGCTGTAATAAATTTTGTTGTTAGAAGCAGCTCGCTATAATTTGACAGCTACTCACGTCTGAGACTACAGTTAATAACAAAAAAATATGTAGTACCAACACGAAACAAAAAAACTATTTCAAATATTTGTAATTGAAAAAAGATTAATACAAGACAACACAAGAATAAACCAAAATAATAATAATTTACTAGAGAGAAACTTAGCACAAAAATCGTTTGCTTGAGTAACTCTGTCCCATTCATGTTTCTATCCTGAAGCAGTTGTGTTTGAATTAACTATGTTTCGGATTGAAGGGTGGGTAAGGCAGTGAATTTACAAGGTACAGAGGAATAATACCTGAATACTCAGCAATCAGAATGGCAACGCATGGGGGGTATCATGGGCGAAACAGTATACTCTGTTATGTCCATGGTGCTGCTCATGTCTATAAGCGACTGTTACCAAGTTGTTACTGTTAGTATAAAAAAAAACCAATCGATCGCAAATCTGTTTAAAACATTTCTAAAAACAAGCTCTTATAGCCTTTAGGCTTCGTCCAGATAATATATCACAAACGCAACTAATTTATAATGTTTGCGATTTGCCATAGCCATCTTACCATTTTCATCGTCAGTTCAGCGCGGTACCATGAAATTTTATTGTCAGCGAACTACGTATAAGTAACGTCAGCAAATGGTTAAAAATAAATTGCAAATTTTGAACAAAAAGACCTACACACAAAAGAAAAAGACGTGGCACATTATCGTAGAAAGTAAATAAGTAGTGTAATCATTTTAAAGACACTTACAAGCGACTAGATATTTTTACAAAACCCTCATTGAAATAATTTTATCGCCTTTATCTATACCTATACTAATATTATAAAAAGATTTTATATTTTGTGTATGTTTGTTTGTTATGGATAAAATAAAAAAACTACTCAACTGATTTTAAATTTTTTTTCACCTAAAGAAAGCTACATTACCAGTGAGTGACATAGGCTATATATTATTAAAAAAAAATCCCCACGAAAATTACAATAAACAATTTAACTTAAGGTATCAAAAATTTGCTAAATAAATAATAAAAGCTAAATAATATAAGAATATAATTTATGTTTCTATCTACCTACCCGTACAAAGTTGGGGCGTATCAGTAGTAGTAGTAAGTAAATTTCCATAAAAGCATCCCGTAAACGTGTAAAGGTCTAAGCGCCGACCAAGGAGAATCTATTTTAATTTAAATCACGTTTAGTTACAAATCATCGGAATCAGATCACAACATGAACGGAGCCGTTGGCGCGTAAAATTCTACGAAACGGTGCAAATAGAATACGTGACGTTATGGCATCTCACTCTATTGGATCTCATTTGTATAACACTATGCTATCATTACTGGTAACAAAGCGTACTATCGTCGGGTAATTTGTTTCAAAACTGTGGACGAATGATAAACACAAAAAGCATAAAACACAAAACCTTCAACGGCAAAAACAATTGATTTGAACGCCGGATTGTTTATTTTATGTATTTATTTATGTTTTTGTTTTAATTGACCTAATTGGACATACGACATTTTTTATCTATCTATTTAAGACAGCATTTGCCCATTGTTATTGGTGTCTTCATCCTCCTTCAGAATCCTGTTCTAATTTTTTTTTAAGGATGATGTTGAAATAGTAACCCTGCATGCGCTATCGGTATACCAGTAAGGGATGATAAGTGAGAATGAAAGCAGGCCAGTTAGCCAATGGTGACGAGTTCCACAAGAATTAACCAAGATAGTTTCCAGGAAAAATCACGTGGAGATCGTCGCAAAATCAAATCACCATAGAAGGAGTACCTTCTATCGATTACAAAAACAATTACCAAAATCTTTTTATGATTGTTGTACGTCATGGAATCACTTAACATAGTCACAAAAAATTACAGACGAATTGAGAACCCCCTCCTTTATTAAATCGTTTAAAAACTCAGCAAGTAACACATAAAACCCGCCAAGGTAAAAGCTACTAACTACCACTCCCGGAATTTACCCACAATGTCACCCATCTATCATGCAGCAAACAATAGGTGGAGCGGTTGAAATTTGCAACCGCCCTGATTTATTACTACGGCAATACCAGATAGCGCCCCCTGTCGATAGAAATATTGTATAAAAACTCCTCATATAACAATTAAGTCGTATAGAAGTTGGGTTGGTGATTTATATGGCGACGCCCGCATTTGTGTGTCCATCGGCCAGCTTGAACGGACGAAATTGTTGGAAACATCCAAATAATCAGTATCGAACTTGTATACCGAGGTTCCGTAGAATATTATTGTAATTAAATAAGAACTTTCCTTGCATAAGATAAATAATTGCCAATAAGTGCATCACTTCAGAACTGCTATGCAAACTTGGCTTATTCTTTTTTTATGTGTTTGTAATTGTCCATACAAAGCTTGTAGTAAAAAGAAAATGTTTGAAAAACGTACGGAAAAGTGAAAAATTAGTACAGTCACACCTCGGCCCACATTTGTACGTTCGTCCATCAATGCCTCAGTTGCTGGCCGCTGCAGTAATGTACTATAAAAGACATGAAGGTTCCAATAAATATATTATTAAACAACTGAGTTGTAACCCTTATGGCACGCAAGAAAGAAAAAGAATTTGTTACTTTACATATATTGCTTTTTTGTGTATACATTATTTTGTCTCTTTACTGTGTATGTCTGTTGTTATTTGTGTGTTGTAAGTAATCCAAATAAAAATAAATAATCCAAAATAAAAAAATACTTGGTGACTCATACGGGCTCCTTAAATATTTTATAAGTCACGATGACTCAATACATTCTTAGTAATATAATTTATTTATCGTACCGATTAAGGCGCATACTTATTCTAAAATAAACACACTACCAGATATTAAACATTGCAGGTGGTAACAGCAAACACAGTCGTTATCTACTGAAAGAATTCCATTGAATCGTCCAAATTGATATCACCACGGCAACAGAACAAATTATTGCAAAATTAAAAAAAAAATCGATATGAGTTTATACTTACATAGATAGTATATAGACAGTTATCGGCTACTGAACTCAGACCTGTAACAAAATAGAATACTTATTTATATTTATTCGATATAAAACTTAGTAATGAACGGTCGGAATCTCATTTACGTTACCAGTTACCAAGCAAAATAATAGGTATCTAAGTAATAAGAGAATCCACTACTTTTATAGCACAATCAATAATTAATGGCCACAGAAGCGTTATTATTTTATTACACTTTTTCTATAATACAATTTAACAATTAAAAAATAATACACTTGGGTCATGTCAATATAAGATCGACTGTCGTTGCCAATTTTTTCTGTAGATAACCTATAGAAAAAAAAAGTTTTTAATAAGAACATCCCATATTCCAAATTTAAATTTTCACGTTCGGTAACCGACCGATAGGTTATCTCGCTGGCGTTCACACAGTGCAAGAATGACGGATGGTTGGTAACGTTTCCGTGAAAAGACCAGTTTACTTTGATACCCCATACAATATAAAAGGCATTTAAAATGCCAGTTCAAATTAAAGTAGAAAAATATGTAATTACAAAATCAAAGCTCAAGTGCTACACAAACAAACCTACGTATGTCGCTTTAGTTACTCGGGTTTCGTAATATAGGCTTTTCGTCACGTGTAACAAGGTTTAACTTAATACCATTGAAATCGCGGATATGTCTTAATTAAACATATAAAGAGGTTTCACGTGTGTTTTATTGTTGATATACGAAAATTATTATTTAGATGCTCTTATTATTTGTAATTCGTGATTTAAAGAGCGAGTCCTAATTAAGCTCTGTCAATAAAACGATCGAAGAAAAAATCATTTGATATGTGAACGAACTTAACAATCATTACATTAATTTTTTGTGAATTGATTTTTGATAAAGTTCGTTCACACTATTTTTTTTTTATTAATAAACCTCTCAACTCACTTTGAAATTATAAATCGACAAAACTTACTTATACAGTCCCTTTATGATATCAGTCGTTAACCGTCCACTGTTGAACATAGGCCTCCTCCAAAAACTGACCTGGTATTTACCATTGGGAGGGGATATCAGTAGTTGAAACGCTAGGCAGACTGGTTTTTTTAATGGATGATAGTGGAATAGTAACCGCACCCGCGCTATCGGTATACACCGGCGAGGCACCAGTGAAGGATGATAGGTGAAGATGAAGCAGGCCAGTTAGCCCATCGTGACGAATTCAACAAGAATTGTTCACGATGGTTTCCAGGGGGAACCACGTGGAGGTCGACCTAATAAGGTATATTGCTAGCAATGGGGCTGACAAACTCCATTGCTAACAATCCTTTTCCCCCCAGGCAGACTGGTTGGCAACAGCAGTTAGGTTTAGGTGAAATTTTAAGAAGGATTATCATTATCACCATATCAGCCATTACCTGTCCACTGCTGTTTTAATGATATTTTAGTTACCTCTTACGACATTCACGGGAAAAAGGGATGGTCTATTCTATGCAGGAATCACACGCCAATCCCTTAGCGTCAAATAATATAAATTTAACACAAATAACGAAAATATAAGTATCACTAGGATATAATTCTGATTATGTAGACATTGTCATAGACAAAGTCCACCCTTACAATAATTAGAACGTATGGAAAAGAAAAATGTAAGCTCGCCCACATTTTATTGTCTATATATAAATAAGGAACTCTTGTTACAAATTTATATAAACATCATATTGCGTCATTTATAGTTATTTCGTACTCACTTCGGCGGCACCAAAGTAAATTGGAATGAAGAACAAAAACTTATCTATATCAGACGGCCGGTGCAACGACCCACAGTTACGATCGGGCGCTTGTATCTACAATCAAAACAAAATCATTTGTAAAGGATTTATTTAACGGACGCACGATAACGGCTTACCGAAACAAATCTAGAAATGATAATGTATTCGGACGTAAGTTTTTAAGCCGCTTCAAAATGGAGTAGGTGCCCAATTTGCCTGGTACTTTTAATATACTGTTTCACCTTCCGAAGGTTGGGAGTTCGATCGCCGCACAATATCAGCATTTATATTCACGATATTATGTTTATTTAGTATGTTTATTTATATCAGTCTGGGTGTTTTCTGGATATCATTTACCAGAGGGATACTTTGCAAAAAAGTCGTTTGCTAGGGTACCTCTGTCTCGTATATGTTTCTGACGTAAAGCACTGTGATTTAAAAGGTGGAATATGGCAATAAAATTATATGATATAGAGTCATAACTCCTTAGACCTCAGGAGTAGCAACACATGATGGGTATGATGGGCAAAACAGTATACTATATTATGCTCATGGTACAATTCATGTTTATAGGCGTTGGTTACCTTACATTTTCCATCAAATGGGCTTATTTGCCATTCTAAATTGCATAAAAAAATCTATTAATAACCTTTAAACTGTACTTTCAACTTCGAGTTCCCAGAAAAGACGATTCTCCCAAAATATATAAGGAAGCGTTTTATATTTTAATAGGGGATTCAAGGTTTTTCTGAACATTCGAAACCAAAGTAACTAAAGTAAACCAAACAGTAATTCTTAATGGATAATTCAATGCACAACCAAGGTAACACAAAGGTATAAATTTAAATTTTAAACGTTTCCACTTTAAACCTAAATAAATGGACACGAGTGGGCATCAAACCGGCGAACCCCCGCAGCAAAAGCATCGCGTTTACAAAACCCATTTGAACATCACCCGTGATATAATTTCAATAATAACAGGCGGGTGTAACACAGCGTTGCCAGATTGGGTATTTTTGCGCAATTCCAGGTAAAAAATTCGCCCCTGGAGAAATGGAGAAATGTTCGGAGAAGAAAATTATTACGGGGAATTTTGGATAATTTACTTTGTTTGAGAACTTTCCCGTATTTAATGACGTGAGCAAAATCGTATTATGTATGCTAGTATTTTGGTTCAGTTAACGCTTTTTTTCGAATTCGGGTTTATTCATTTATGTATTGTATAACCTACAAAATTATAGTTTTTGGTAAAAGATGGCATCTATTTTGAGAATAATATCAACATTTATTTATATATAAAAAAAATTATAGACCAAATGAAAATATGGTAAAAAGGCGGACTCAATGTTGAAAGTATTATCTATCAGACAGTCTACTGGATAAACAATGAATGTATAAATTGGGGAGAATTAAAAAAAAATAGCACCTGGCAACCCTGTCGTAATGGTATTATTATGAGGAACAATTTAATGCAATCCGCAACCCGTTATGGTGCAATGCGGCGTTTGCGGACACGGCTGGTTGCCAACGCGCCAGGACGCTCCGTGAATGTAATCGACTTTACACTTACCACTCGGTGTGCCTTAGAAATTTATTACACCTTCCCAATCCACAAATGTATACGAATTCACAGAAAATTTTACGATATACGACTCGGCATTTTCGATATATTTCTGTGGGTTCTCTACTTCTGATTTACACAGACGATGATATACAGAGTGAAACCGTTAACGAGTTTAATAATAATAATTTTAATTTCAGACTTACATCCATATTATGTATTAGTAACAAAATTGTTATAATAACGTTAGGACAATCTAAAGAAAATTACGCATGTCTACTTTTCCGTATAGAGAGAGACGTACCCAGCGTCGAAAAAATGGAAAGTTCCATCGGGCGATCAACACGCTCAGAATGCTGTTGGAGCTGGCGCGGAGGCGACTAAGCAGAGAGGCGCTTTGTTTACGTATGATGACAGGCATCAGCATTCGTCTCGGGAAGGGAGTTTTCTATTAGAAAAGCTAGACACTTTTACCAAAGAATCACGGACCGAAAAACGTTAAATATATTTCAGCGTTTTACACTAACACGGCGCGCCCAACTATTAAGTTACACTGTATGAGAGACTGAAAATTTTCGTCCTTTCTGATGTTGATGATGATGATGATATATAATGTTTATATGTTCCATAGCGTGAACAGATTCTTAGTTTTAACTATTTGCTAATGGCTTAGATTCACCCTGTATATTCTAATATCTTTAGATTTTCTACTTAAGGTCTACGCTGATGGTGGACACTTTATCTGTACAAAATTTCCTTTTGTGTAAGCAGTGTAACTACTTGCACAATACGTGTGCATTGTAGCATGCAATTTTATGTGTTTATGACTAGACTTAAATGCACTCCGATTGTCTGTAGTGAACTTTAAAAGCTGAGCAACGACGCAAACACCTCTACAAACACAAAGGGAAATGTTCGCGAATAAAATACCCCTCGTCTACATAGGCCATTAAATTCAGAAGTTAGGAACTATTTTACTTAATAAAATAAGGGCGAATGAAACACACAAAAATAACGAAGAAATTTTAAAAAAAGAAGAGATGTTTGAAAAAAGAGATGTTGAAGTGACAATTGCAAAGGGCATGTTGCATTGCTTGCATTGCTTTGGTTAGAGAGAGAATGGATGAAATTAGAATTGCGAAAGATATTTATCGAGTATTTGTGGAGGTTTCGGTAGGAGCCGTCCTAGACAGACGTATACGTCGACCAAGTACGTGAGATATTGACAAAAGGACTTAAGTAGTTAAAAGTAATTATAACCTGTGATTGTGTATCGAAGATCCGAAAGAGGTCTGTTTGGTTCGGAGCATTTGGCGTACCATTATTTTCATCTATTCCAATGGAGGAGGCTAACATTTACGTACTTCAAAAGACCTTACAAATTTAATCTTATTTATATTTTTATACATGATTGTGCAAAAAAATGCAAATAAATTTAATACTCATATGCTTTGAATTTAAATTCTTTTAATAAACAAAATTTTAACACTATGCACATAAACTTAGTAATGTACAATGGTACATAAGCATGCAAAATTACATTATATGTTCATTTGCTTTGAATTGAAAATTATTTAACAAATAAAATGCGTAACTTAATAGTGCACATAACACGCATCAAATATGTTCGGCGCGTAGTTGAAAATCTAATTTCTTCGCAGAGGTCGACAGCAAGGTGGGTTGGGTGCACTGAACTTGTGTTCTCTGAAAACTAGACAAAAACGCT